TGGAGAGCAAAGTGATGATATGGACAAACATTTTGACATTTCCTATTACCCTCGTGCCAAATCATATTACCATGTGTTAAATTCATTCAAATGGATCCCATTTCATTAATAAAGAAAGATATCTTTTGATGACATAGTAAATTAAGTGATATTTTTTTATATTTTTTAATAATATAACAAATTAAATTAAATATTTATCCCGAATAAAAAATAATATCAAATCAAATTTTATTAATTAATCATCATTAAACTATAATTATTCATATTAATTAAAATTAAAATTCTAAATTAATTTATAATTAAATCACCATTAAATTTTTTTTCTTTAACGGCCATTATAATTTCTCAGTAACCAATCTCACCAATCAAACAAATTCAAAGCATTTTCTCAGCATCCAAACACCCAAATTCAAAGCATTTTCTCGGCATCCAAACACCCAAATTCAAAGCATTTTCTCAGCATCCAAACACCCAAATTCAAAGCATTTTCTCGGCATCCAAACACCCAAACTATACCATTTTCCAACCAAACAAATGAAAACACACTAAGCTTCTTTGCCCAACTGCTTATGTTCTTTCCATTTCCATTTTGAACATATAACAAACATATAATGTCTCGAACCTAGTTGGCTGGGTTCCACCGAACCCAGATCGACTGGGTTCCACCGAACCCAGATCTGCTGGGTTCCACCGGAACCCAGCAGACATAGAGGAAGAAGAGGAAGAAAGAAGAGGAAGAAAGAAAAAGAAAATGAAGAAAGGAAGAAGATGATTGAAAGAGGGGAAGAAGATGGATCAAAAAGGGGAGAGGAGTAAATTTGTAATTTTCTTTTTTTTATTAAGGCAAAATTGGTTGATGAGTTGGCAGTGAGTTGGCTTAAAAAAAAATTCCAGATCAACGTTTTTTAAAATTATTTTTGCCGCAGCATAAAAAATAATTATAAAAAATGCCACATAAGTGAGTTAACGGCTCGAATTAACAGAAGGACTAATGGAGTGCATTTCGTATAGTTAAGGGATCAAAAAAGTGCAAAAAATTGTTGAGGGACCAAAAATGTGCAACTCACTAAAGTTGAGGGACCAAATTTAGCATTTAACCTTTATTTTTCTATACAAAATAGTGAAAAATATGTAATTTAATAATGATATTAAGTTTTTTAAAAAATAATAAAATTTAAATTATAATATTGATTGTAATAAATTAAAATTAGAATCTTAACTAATGTAAATTAAAATTATTACCTTAATTAATTATTACATTTGACATAGAATTTAAACTTAAAAAATAAAATATTGCAAAAAATATATATATACTAAATTTAATATTTTTTAAAAGTTTAGAGGCAACTTGTCAATATCTAAAAAGAATTCTGTTAGTCAGTTAATAGAATATTTGTTAAGTAGATCATTTTAAAATAAAATTGATAGTTTATACATCATTTTAAAAAAATTATTTCTAAACTAAATTAAAATAAACTACATAATTAATAAATTATTTATTGGATTTAGCCCAAAAAAAAAAAAAAAGTCCATTAAGTCAATGACAACGCCTAACAAACACATGCACCCAGAGAAACGGAAGGCCGGAGCATAACATGCTCAAAACACCAGATCGCACCCAGACATACCAGCTGGCCCAGGCAAATCCTCTAAAACCCCACTTGACTAATAAATCCGCTGCCCATAAAACCTAAAATTCACATGTCAAATTTAACTCCACGCGCCAACCACCCTACGCTACCATCACGTCAACATCCAACGTTTCCGCAATCAGCGCGTGTAAATATTTGTCAATGTGAGTTTCACACCCACAGTAATACAAAATAACATAGTGCTAGACCTGTAACTGCACCAAACCAGAAGTCCTTTTTCAGTCCGTATCTGCACCCTAGATTAACCTGCAAAGCCCCGAGGTGGATCCTCGGGGTAGACACTCCGATGCTTAAGTCAGCAATAATCGGGGTTACCTTTAAAGCGTAGACACAAGGAGCTTAGGGTTAATTCCAATTACCTTTTGGCGTGACCCTTAAGAGGTATTTATATGTTCCGATGCAGAATCCACGCGGCATGCCAATCAAGATGCCAAGCAAGATATCCGGGATCCGATGTGTATCTCCAGGCAGTTATTTCGGGACCGGGAGATTGAGCTAAGCAAAATATCCGGGATGTGATATGTCACGCCCCAGAACCCAAATCCGGGGGCGTGGCAGACGCCGTGCACTCGTGAGAAGGTCCCACAAATGCACAAGGCTCGAAACTTACTGAGTTCATACTTAGCAATTCAGGTAATTCAGATCTAAGCCTTTTTAATTACCAAATATTTACCAGTCAGATGTACAAGATTTATCATTTCATATATACAGTCATGACTAGCACTAAATTCTGTACACAAAATTTTCTATGTCAAGCATGGGTGACTAACGGCTTAGCTACAAAAACCTAAGTCCAAAAGTGCCTAGCCGTCTAGCTCGTCACTCCCCCGGGCTTCCCACGCGTCGGGTCTTACTACCTGAAATGGTGGACAAGGAAACCGTGAGATAGAAATATCTCAGTAAGTAAACATGGGGGCCCGACATCAAAGTTTAAAGCATGCCAAATAATCGGTTTAAAACATGAACAGAGCATTTCAAGAACAGAGCGTTTCAA